TAATCTTGTTCATGCCTAATTGAAGAGGAGTGACAACAACAGCACAAAATATAGCCTACACCACAGATATCTCAATTAGTTCAGCTTACTCAATTCTGACTGAAAAAATGGAGCAAACTTTCCACTCAATGGTTGCCGAAACCATTGTGCCCAAATTAAATGTAGACAAGAGCAAAGCTTTCAATGGCAATTTTAAGCAAGTGATATCAAGATCCTGAAGCATTTCTTCAAAGAATTATAGCAGGAGATGAAACATGGATTTACCAGCACATTCCTGAAGACAAAGCATAATTAAAGCAATTGCTACCAAGAGGTGGAAGCAGTCCAGTCAAAGCAAAGAGGAGTGATCAAGAGCAAAGGTCGTGGCAACCTTTGGGATGTTCCAGGCATTTTGCCTGTTCATTTTCTAGAGGACCAAAGAATGATAGCATCTGCTTATTATGAGAGTGTTTTGAGAAAGTTAGCCAAAGTTGTAGCAGAAAAGTGCATGGGAAAGCTTCACCAGAGTCCTTTTTGAACACAACATTGCTCCTACTCATTTCTGTCATCCAACAAGGGCAATTTTGTGAACGTTTCGATGGGAAATCATTAGACATCCACTTTGCAGTCCTGATTTGGCTCCTTCTGACTTCTTTTTGTTTCATAATCTTAATATATAAAAGATACCCATTTTTCTTCAGTTCATAATGTAAAAAAGACTGTATTGATGTGGTTAAATTTCCAAGACCTTTGGTTCCTTAGGGACGGACTGAATGGCTGGTATCATCACTTACAAAAGTGTCTTAACCTTGATGGAGTTTATGTTGAGAAATAAAGTTTGAATTTGTATTTTTATCTTTTAATTCCATTTTCCCACAAGCTTGCTGAAGTCCCCTCAGATAGATTCTCTAAGTTGCAAACATGTATCATTCATAAAAACACTGTCTACTTGGTAAAACAGGATTGATACATGAATTAATCAGCGAATAAGGTGCTAAAATAGATGATGATTGAAAGAGATGCTTCCCTATACCTTTATGAATCTCTAAATTGTAGAATATTAATATAGCACATAATTTTCTTTGTGATCGTAAATATGTAACGACAAAGTCACATTGAGATGCAGTCATGAAGCTCCTATTAGACTTGCTAGCAAGTTAAGCATGTTGGTTCCCAACATTAGGTTCTTAAAACGCACAATTCCAGTTTATACTTCTGCTGATTACTCTGTTAGTTATCTTTGAGGTGTTCCCAAATGTTCAAAAACACAAATGTTAGTTATGCTAGTGCCAAGACAGCATATACAATAAAACTCTAATGATGCCTGTGATGTATTAAATCATGTGCCAGGAACTGGGAGTTCTAAGAGAAGCTGATCCTCAAAAAAGTCTCATATGATAGCCAGGAATGGACTTTAAATGTAATATTTAAATATGATGCATTATGCTCTGTAAAGGTATATATAATGTTTTATCAAAATTCAGAAGGGGAAACAGTTAATTCTCCCTGAGAGTGAGTGAACCACACGGGGTGTTGAGGGATGAATGTAAGCAGAATAATGACATTCCAGGCATAGGGAAATATAATAGTCTTTTAAAAATATGAAGTCAATGAAATTGGGTAGAGCATGAGAGAAACACAACGAAAGCTGCCTAAGGGACTTTAGCTGGAGAGATGTAAGCATGATCTACTGGGATAGGACTAAATCAAGACTATCAGTCAGGAGGTAACTATAATATATAAAGCAAAGGGATAAGGAATTTGTACCATTGAGGTAAAACCAGCA